CTATTATTTAATTCCGTGGCCATTAAATGAATGCATTTCATTACCCAATTAATTAGTCCTACCACTCTTTTCTAAGATCAGCAAGACGCACCATAATGAATAAAAGCCCCTCTACCTCCTCACCTCCCGGGTGTCCCAAAGCTGAAGATTTATATTCTCACATTTATTATATTCTCACATTTATTACTGTACCAGCAAAGCACACCATGGTGACACTTAGTTTTCGTACTTCTGCAGGAACTGAATTAACTATTTTTTTTTCCTTGTCTGTCACATAGTGGAAGTGAACACAGAAATCTTTACAGAATGCTCTCTGGTGTCCTAACCCTGATTAAACATACAGCACACTTCCTAGAATTTATTTTAGAGGTGTGAAGAAAGGAGTAGGTAATTTAAGGTTAGCAGGAACATAATTTCTGTTCCTGCAGTAAAGTCTATGTCAAGTCTTGGTGTGTTAGAACAGACGGAAGGTTAACCATTAAAACTTAACCTCTTCATCTGAGTTCCTTGAACAAAAAGGCAATATCCCACTAAATACAGCATGTGCAGGATATACTGGAAGATTTGTGCGTAAAACAGATTGCAATTTGCAACAGCTAGGTTTAATTTACTCAGGGACTGCTTATCTAATCTAGACAAAGCACCAAACTTCTGTCCACCAAATATTTCAGGTAAATGTCATAACCAGCAAATTTTTCCATGAGGAAGTGTTTCCATCTTCCATGTGTAAGGGACTCAGTCCTGCTGGTTTTAGGCAAGTTTGGAGGGTGCCTTATCATCTAACACTCTTTTAGATATATCTAGTTTAAGCTTGGAAAGGAGAGATATGTGGGGCACCCTCGGAGCACAGCAGGACAGTCAGTGCTGAAGTCACACAGGGAGGTTCCTACAGAGCTTAAGCAGATCCTGAATGGCACTTTGGTAATCCCAGTTTTACCCTAAGAAACCACAGCTGCTCTCAGCTGCTGCTTCTGGCTTCTAATTCTCTGCTAGATCTCTCTCCTTGTCACATGATATTTCAGTCTTCACAAGCTTTAAAGCTCCACCAGCCAAGGTGTTCAAGGAGATGATGGGACTGACAGACCTGGGGCAACTTCTTTCATCAGCTCTGCTGGTGTGGGATGTCCGGTTTAAAAAACCCTGAGGCTACAGACCCTGACCCTTGTGAAGTAATACAGAGAGAAAATTCAAAGTGACTATTGGAAAAGGCAGCAATTAATAATCCCAGTTTCCTCTTGCTCCTTCCAGATCTGGGTGAGGAGAGGGCCAGGCCTCATTAAGATGGTCAGGGACTCTGCAGCATGTCAGAGAGAAGGGGAAATGTGTGAGTTTAGGGAATAGGTTGTTCTCTGTGCAGGCTTTGTATTTTGTTTCAATTAGGTTATTGATTCTGCCTGCTCTTGTTGTGCACAAGCTCAATGGTGTTTTAGCTGAAGCTATAAATAAGCAAAAGTTGGTCTCGTTTAAGAAAGGAAATCTGTCTTTTGAGCTGTTCTGTAAACCAAAGGCTGAAGGAGGCAAGTGGAGGAGTCACCTCCCCTGGTTCCACAGCCCAGTCATGTGGCTGGGTCAGGGAGCTCCCTAGGATGACTCTTTCAGCACATAATTAATTATGTGCTAACACTTCTGCTCCCAGGAGGAGCTTTTGGCCATCCCTTGCCCTGGTGCCCCCTGAGCGCTCACACCAGCAGCCCCTGCTCGCGTGGGTTGCAAAACATCTACTGCTTTATTTAAATACAGAGGGCAGACAAGCAATTGTTGCTTAGGTGACTGATTCCTACCCCTGTTAGAAATCTTATATAATTTAACAACAATATGTATTTTTCCAATTTTTACATATTGAATTGTTTGCAAAGTCAAAAATGTTCTCTACTTAATATCACCGAGTTTTCTTAACATAATTTCTCTTCCACATCTTGCTTTCATTCGGGGTAAAATTCTGCAGGGGTTTGTGTGTGCAGGGAAGAGAATGTGAACCAGGGCACTTCATGTAACCTCCAATCAGGTGAGTCCCCCATGAATTCAGAGCCCTCCACCCTGCACATTTCACAGCTGCCTTTGGCAGTGAGGAGCCTCCATCCCTGAGTTATTGCTGCCGGCACCTTTACTCAGCCACAGAACTGTCTCATAGAAAAGCCATTTTCCCTTTCTTTCTAGCCTATATTTATGTTGTTTCCTTTCCCTCAGCTCTGATCCACAGGTGCACCTCTCTTAATTCTCCTGTTTTCTCCAACACTGTCATTCCCCCTCCTTCTCTGAGTTTTTAAGGCACTGTGGAGCATTATCTGTGTCTGCAGCCTGTCAGTTGTCTCCCTGATCCATATCCCACACAAACCCTTCTGCTGCTTTGCCCTGTTTAAGTGCATCTTTTAACGCTCCCTCCTCTTCCTTTGACACTCAGATTTTGGTTTTTGGGGTTTTTTTCCATACTCTGTTTGGCATATTTGAAGCTTTGTGCCTCCTGCAGTGTTGCCAGACATCTGCACTTTCTTCTTGCAGGTACTTGAAAATCCATGTTGTGTTTAACTCTTCCTCCAGAAATCTCCTTTTGGAGCAGCTTGTCATGTTTTAATGCTTTTGGACAGCCCTGCAGGAAGCAAAGTGAGGGGAGAGCAGCTCCTGTCTAGCTCCTGACCTCCCCTTGCTTTTCCCTCACATTCCCGATGTCTTGCCTGCATCTGGCCCTGCTGTAGCTTGAATAAATAACTTGCACTTAGAAAATCCTAAAATTTAGTACAGGCCAGCTTCCTTACACTAGTAAATCTACCTTACAAGCTCACAGGAACTTGTGCTGCTCTGTGTTGCATCTGATTTAGGACATCATCCTGCAAGTCCATATTCTCAGGACCAAGATCCTCCAGCCTAGAGGGGAAGATTTTAGGCTCCACAGACTAAGTTGTCTTACTAACTTTGACACAGAAAGCTACTCTGAATAGCTTAAATATTTCAGTGAAACATTCTGGGATGGAAGGAGAAAGGAACCTTTGTGGGACACAGGGATGTGAATGCAGATTTAGGTTTGCCTGCAGTGAGTTAATGCCCTGTTGTTCCTGTAGTCAGCACTGAGAATGACCTGAAGCCTCCACAGAAGCGACAGCCCAGCACTCCAAGATGGGCCCTTCCAGGTTTGTTTTCTTTTTTATGGGAAAGAAATAAAAACTCTATTGATTAAACCAGGACAAGCTAAAATAAATGTAATGATCTTCCTAGTCAAGCAGAGACTGAAGTATTAAAACAAAATGCACGCTTCCTTTTGTGGGATAGTGATGGGCTTCTCTTTGGATGTCATTCCTGCTGCCTGTCCTTATGGCTCTGGGAAGCCTTGTGGCTGCTGCAACAGTTTCTGTCCCTGCCTTTGGCCTAACTGGGAGTGCATTCAGTTTTAGTGTATCCCAGCAAATGAAAGCTGACAACTTTTGGGATACAAGATCCCTGCTGTGCTTTGCCACCCCCTTCCCGTTACCTGCTTGAGGATTTCTGCGGCCGTTTCATGGGAGCAATCAAATATCACATAGAATTCCTTGCCCTTCTTCATCTCCTTGAGCAAAGGCCTGGCATCCTTGTTCCCAGAGGGCAGCTGGCGGATTTTGATTTTAATGTTGTACCTGGAAGGGGCTTTGATGAGCTCCTGCAGGCGAATTAGACCTGGAAAACGATAGGCAATTATACAACTCACCCTCCTGTGCCACGAGGATTGATTGCCACTGAAACAGGGTCTCTTACCAGTTCCCAACATATTTCACATTCCCTAAGGATAATTGTTAGCTCCCTATTTGCCAGCCTCCTACTAACATTATTAAAGCTTTTCATTTTCATGTTTGTACTTGGCTTCGACATCTGAATATTTTGTAAGGTATTTCTAACTGCTTGACCACAGGATGTGTTTGCATTGATGTAATACAATAAAAACATACTGTAATATGTTTAAATTTATATAGTTCATTGCAAAAAGCACGTAAGGCTTCTTCCTTGGCAGCCAATTATTATTCCAACACCAACCAACAAGAATATAGAAGTAAAGAAACTTCCTTCCAACTCTCCTGCCTAATGTAAGGTCACTCAGGAAGTGTGAGACCTTATAAAGGACCAAAATATTTTGAGATCCAGCTTTACATCTGTAAACACATCTGTAAAGAACATGATTTCTTAGATTCTCTCTTCAGCTGGCACGGGTTTACCTCCCTTATTTGAAGTCAGTGGAGCTCAAGCAGTTGAAGACTTGTCCAAGTGTTTAAACACAGTGCAATTCCACCAGCTAATTCAGCACTCCTACATAATTTGTACTGCCTCCAAAACCTAAGGAAGACAGTTAAGAGCTCTTTGAGGTGTGTGATTACAGTCTCTTTCTCATTATCCATGAATGCAATTTACCCACAAAAAACCCCGTGATCTCCCGCCGAGCGAAAGCAAAAGGCTGCCTTAAAAATATGTGTGAGGAGAGAGAGAGGGGGGGAATACAGGCAAGAAGCACTTCTTGAACAAAAATCAAACAAATTATTAAAATGAAAAAACTCTTGGCTCTCCTGCTGGGAGTGGGTATATTTGTCCTGGGTTGAATGGTCCAGTGGTATGGATAAGGCAAGACAAAACATCCCTGTTTCTTCTGGGGTTACTGAGGGTTCGCTGCGCTGAGGACTGTTGGCTTTCACTCGAGTACTGGCAGAGTGCTTAGAAAAAACTAATCTTTCCCTCTGCCTGCAATGCTGGGCCTGTTCTTTGCAGGTTTTCAAGTATCAACAATCAATATAGAATATTAAGCATTATGAGCGTTCAAATGTAAATTGCTGCTGGGGGATCGGAGCCTGGCCGGGAGCCAGGCTGGGGGGCTATGGAACAATGTGAGCTCATTATTATGAGAATGGGGCACATGCTTCCAACATGGACTAACAAGGAGGGGAGTTTGTGAAATCTGGCTGTAAAGCTGCAGCTTGGTTGTACTAAGGGTTCAGCTGCAGTGTCTTGGCCACTATAATCAATGGCAGCTCCAAGAGGGAAAGCTGAGATTTGGGAGGAAGAGTCCAGAAATTTGCCTCTTATCCACAGCCTCAGACTGATTACTGTTGTTTCTCTTTCCAGCAGCTAAAAGTACTTATGTGCAAGAGTGGTGAAGGGCAAAAGAAAAGGATTTGCCAACCCATCTCTACCTTCTTTTAGGGGAAGGAAATTACTGTGTGCCTTAAAATATCTACCTGGGTCACATCAGACTTGGACCTTGCACTTCCCAGCCCTTCCCACTGCCACATGAAGATAAAGCCCAGGAATGGTGTACTGAAGGAATCAAAGTGGCAGTGAAGTGCAGTTACTTTTCTGGGGGACAAAGCAAAAGCCTGAATTAGCTGACTGCCAGATAATTAACAGCACAGGGGAACAACCTTCCTCTTCCTCCTGCTCAGCAAATCCAAACCCTTGGATATGATACCACCAAGCATTGATTTGGGACAGATTTTAAATGTGAAGTGCTCAGGCTGGCTCCAGGTGGGAGTGAGGAAGGTCTGGGTAAGTGCAGTGCTTGGGGCACTCACCATTGAGAGGAAAGGTTCAGTTTAGGGCTTTGAAGCAAAATCAGTAAGGATGGAAACCTTCATTAATTTTCTTGGCCTACGGTAGTCTCTGAGATTAAAAAATGGGCTAATATGTTTTTCCTTCTTGTAGTGTAACAATGAGAAATAAAAAGAGCTTAAGTGGCATCACTCTAACCCAAAATCCAAAGACTATTTATATCGATCAAAGCTGACCTGTTTACTTTCCTGACTCCGAGTTAATAAGATGATTGATGACTAATTTACTTTGTAAATACCTCTGCAAATGAAGTCTCTTTAATATCAGTCATTTTTGTAACTGAACACGTACACAGCAGTTAGTGTTTTGGAATGCTAATTTGGTAATGGGGTGGGCTGAAAAAGGCCTGTCCTTGTTCCTGTTTTGTCTGGGATATTTATGTAGGAGCTACTGCAGAATGTCCAGCAGAGGCCACGAAGATGATGAGGGGTCTGGAGCACCTTACTTATGAGGAGAGACTCCAGGAGCTGGGCCTGCTTAGTCTGGTGAAGAGAAGACTAAGAGGGGGTCTCATCAGTCCATACAAGGGCTGTCAGAGGATGGTGCCAGGCTCTTCAGTGGTGCCAGTGACAGGATGAGGAGCAATGGCCATAAACTGAAACACAACAAGTTCCACCCCAACATGAGGAAGAACTTCTTTCCCTGGAGGGTGGCAGAGCACAGGAACAGCTGCCAGGGGAGGGTGTGGAGTCTCCCTGTCTGGAGACATTCCAAACCCATCTGGATGAGTTCCTGTGTCACCTGCTCCAGGTGACCCTGCCTTGGCAGGGGGGTTGGACTGGGTGATCTCCAGAGGTCCCTTCCAACTCCAGCTATTCTGGAATTCTGGGATCATGTGATCAGCTTGAAGCTGTGTTATCAGTTCCACAAATAGGAAGCAAAATGGGATTGAATATTCAGAATGCAGGGGCTGTCTCCTGCTGACGCCTTAAAGTCTGGTGGACTGAACAGCTTTCCAAAATCCACAGCAGCAGCAGGACAGCTGCACCTCACAGGAGGTTTTTCTTCTGTGTTCTGACAAACTGAACTATCACAGGCACTCTCTCCCACAGAATTCCATGTATGTACTTAAACAGAAGCCCACGACCTGCAGCGCACCAACCTGTGCTGTCTTCGTACACCACTGTCACTATCTTCCAGTTGTAGTACAGCACGAGGTCCAAGACTGCCCTGCTGATGGCTGTGTAGTCCGGGTAGAGGTTGATGTAAAACGCATCCTTGTTGTCCACCGTGGGGTGCTTCCACCGGGTCTGGATGTGCGGGACCTCCAGGGCGTTGCAGATGGACTGCACGGCGCTGACGGAGGAGCTGTGGGAGGGCCCGAACAGGGCCGCCACCCCCAGAGCCAGCTGGTCACACGCTGAGGGCAGAGCAGGGGCACAGAAGGTGTTGGTTGGCAAAAACAAGGAACTCGTGTGATGCTTACTGAGATCTTCTATCCTCCACCCATCCCCATCATTTCACAGTGAGAGCAGGTCACTGTGTGGCTCCCAGACCCACCGAGAATGGTTCCTAAAGCATTTAGAGGTTATTTAGAGGGTAAGGTTATTTAGAGGAGCGGCTGAGGGAGCTGGGGGGGCTCAGCCTGGAGAAAAGGAGGCTCAGGGGGGACCTTCTGGCTCTGGAACTCCCTGACAGGAGGGGGGAGCCGGGGGGAGTCGGGCTCTGCTCCCAGGGAACAAGGGACAGGAGGAGAAGAATCAGCCTCACGCTGCACCAGAGGAGGTTCAGGTTGGACATCAGGATGAATTCCTTCACGGAAAGGGGTTTTAAACATTGGAAAGAACTGGCCAGGCAGGTGGTGGAGTCCCCATCCCTGGAGGTGTCCAAGGAAGGACTGGACGTGGCACTCAGTGCTCTGGACTGGGGGACAAAGTGGGGATCAGGCACAGGGTGGACTTGATGGGCTGGGAGGACTTTTCCAACCAAAACGATTCTGTGGTTCTGAAAGCAGCTTTACTGATTATGATTATTATTATTATTATTATTATATCCTAAAATTTACTCGCTACAAATCAAAACTCAAACAACTTCCCTGCTTATGGCCTTCAGATAGCATTTTAACTTCTGAATTTCTAATTTTGATTTCTAAATCGCCTTTCTCAGAATGGCCATATCCTGGAGAAACCAGGATCTTCCAGGCTACAGGCTTGCCAAAGGAACATCACATGAATTAAGTTTCATGGCAGCATGTCAGGAAATATGTTCAGGGAGTCAAAACAGGCACTCTGTGGATTCCCTCTCCGACTGGCAAGTTTCTACCTCTGTGTGTTGCTTTAATTTCAGGCTACTGAAGGAACATAAACAGTAAAGGGCACCATGATTCACTGAGCTCCATAATCTGTGTGTACAAAACAGGCAGTAAAGCCTAAAGCCCTCAGTAACAACACGGGAAATAAAGAACCAACACACACTGACATTTTTATACCTCTCCAAATCAGTCAAACACTGACATCAACAAAGCTTTCTTTCTCCTTGTGCCCATATCTCAGCTCAAAGAACCCCTCCTGGAGGTAATTTTCCTTTCTCTCCTATTTTTTTCAGGTTGTCAGACAGAAGATGAAGTACTATTAGCTATTTTTGCCCATTAGTAACATTTACTGCAGATGTTTTTAATAAGGTTTATGGACTGGGACAAAGCCCCGCACTGAGTTGCAATGTTGTCCTTTTGTAAGGGTGCTCTCAGTGAGAAATTACTGTGATTGAGTGAAATATTAAGTACGCAAACATCCACAATGAGCTGAGATTTTTTAAATTCGTATTTAGCTCTCTGATTGTAATAGAATATGACAGAAAATCAATTATTTTCTGTTTTCAGTCTACAAATGAGTGTTTTACAGGCAGCATAAAATGCACAGGCTTTCCAGGTCTAATTCAGAAGCCTTTCTAAAGGATCACAGGTTTTAATATGCAAATTGCATAAATACCATCAATAATTCATGATGAGAAGGAATCACTACTGTCTGCACGAGTTTCTTGCATGCAGATTGACAAAGATATTTCTAATGAACTCCTCACTCCATTTTAAATGGAGAAGGTACTCTGAGAACAGTCACAAGAGAAGAGATTCTCACTGATACTGATCCTGTATCAGTCTGGATTAAATGGATTATAAACCCGGCACACTTCAGTTTTGATAGCATATAGTTCCAGCATATATTGGATAATTAAAAAAGAATGTTCTTAACAGAGAAACTTCTGTCTCTAAGCCACTGAGTGTTAATATTTCAGGACAGGGAGACTACTGGCCTCTGGCCTTTAAAGTGGAATAGAAGTAATTTGTTAGGAATGATGGCTATCTGTGCTAATTATGGGTTGTGGCATCCCACTGTGCTTCCTGTGAGCCCGGGATCATTTTTCTGCAGAATTCCAGGTGGCAAATATATGTTTTGGAAAGAAAAATGGGTTGGACTTGCCACCTTCCATCTGGGGCTCTTAGCATGCAGACAGGATGGAGGAGGTTATTCAGAAACTAGTGTCAAGTCCAAGCCCAGCTTGATTCTGAGCCCAAATATCTTTAAAACATTAATTTTATGTTGCTGTTCATATACATGATACAATCAGAGCAGAAAAGGAGATCAGGCTGGAAAGGTGTACAGTACAAAACATGTATGCTATTGACACAGTAATTGAGATAATTACCTCTTCTCGAGGCTTCAAAACTATCAAAAAGGTTAATTCTCTGGATGTCATAGGTTAATGTGGTATTAGGCATCAGTGTTCTGTTTCTATTAATGTTGGTGACAGCAAACTTGAAAGCCAATTCTTCAATATTAACAGGTTCATTTTCCACAGTTTCGAATATCCCTCCTGTTGAAACAGAGACAAATGAGAAGGATTATTCACCTCTGCATCGCTGTACATGAAAAGAGAGAAATAAATTATGAGCGATAATTTCTGAGTGTTTATAAAGGAAAACCAAATCACTGTTCAAAGCACTACAGCAAAAGCACACTGGATTATCAGTTTTTATCTCCAGAGGCACTGCAGGTTAACCCAATATCATGAATGTTGCTTAGACAAACATCTGGGAAAGATGAGGTGTGTTTGTTATTCAGGTTTTTCAAAGGAAAACTTTTAAATCCTTGTGAAAACTTCTATCTAATGAAAGCACTGATATTCACGGGTCTTGTCCCCCCTGCTCCAACCTGCTCTATATTTGGAGATGAAGCTTGGATGTGTTGGAGATGTTTTCTGAGGTGTTGCAAATCCTGGCAGTGCAAGATCCACACTCGAAAGGGATTGAGGAGCTTGAGAGGAAATGGAGTGAAAGTTTCCCCTCGAGGTCTGTGTTGTAGCAGGGCTCTGGGTTTTTTTAACCTTAGGCAATGTCATTGGTCATTCCTCAGCTTACTCAGGGACAGGGGACTATTTTTACTTTTTCCAAGCTCATTGCTGAATGAACTGAAGTTGGTGATCCAGAACATGGCCAAGTTGCTCCCACAGAGGATTCATCTCCGTGCCAAAGTGCTGAGTCACATCTCCAGTGGTGAGGTGTCTACCAGAGCCTTCTGGTTTGTCTCCTTGCAAGGACAGTGCTGGACCCAGCACAATCACTCCCAGATTCCCATCCTTCCTCTGGAATCTTCTTCTACCATCTGTTTTGATCTACTTGAATCAAGAGGTGTCCAGACCCACCCAGTGCAATTCCAGCAGGGCAGCTGCTCTTTGAGTGCTCTTCAGTTTGCCAAAACTTTTTTTCCTACCATTCAGACTGGAATTTTGTACACTTCTGGCTCCTTTTTCAGAAAAAATGAGGTGAGTCAGGGCTGTTTTTTAACCTGGAAGCAAGCTTTCCAAAAGAGGGCTGTAAATAACCAACCTGAATTTCAGAATGAACTTCTCTGGCACAAATTCTGAGATGGGGAAGGTGACTGTGTTTCAAGTTAACAGGTTGTCCCACTTAGACTGGGGTGTCTGTTCCCTCTAGAGGCTTTATTATGCCAACACCATATCCTGACTGTCCAGGGGCACTGGGATTTGATGAATGCATAACAAACAGAGCTAATTTTTTTAAAAAAAAGCTCCTCTAAACAGTAATCTCCAGCTTCACTACTTGATTTTGCAAGTATAATTTACTCATTTAGTGCAAGTCACTAGAGAATACTTTGGATTTCTCACTTACATATTTCCACGCTTCCCCATGTGAAATTTGAGGCCCAGATATCTCTTTCTATTTTCTGAGCATCTGAATGCATTCAGCCTGTGAGCTGCAATCTCTTGCAGTTTTGATGTCGCCGATATAGGAATAGTGCAGCCATTAGCTGACAAGCAGAAACAGTGGAATCAAAGCCTGTTTGGAATGTTAACCCAGCAATGAAAGCACTGGAGGCTATCAGACCCAAGCTGGCAATGCAGTCCCCAGCTACTCTTGAATACAGAGTGTTGTATTATCTCTTGAACCCATATATAGCAACGCCTTAACGTGACTTCAGCAATTTGCCAACATAAGCAATTTTCTTGTTCTTCACTATATGGATTTCTCATTTACTATATAGATGTATTAAAACCTGAAAGACTTTCTGTTTTTTTCCCCTCTCCCTCATAAAACATGCAAGTGGTTACAAGAGACTGTGACACACAGAAAGAGCTGGAAAAAATTTAAGGGCAGGTTTTGGAACCAAACGTAAAACATCAAGTAGAATGCTAAAAGACAGCAGGATTTTACAGAGCTTCAAGCTCCAGATCACCTGAAGGGAAAAAAAAATCTAAAGCCTGTGATGATACCAGTGATGATACCAACAAGTTTATTGGTTAAATACAATTTTCTTTCCCTGTTTTCACCTGAGGAAGATGGTTATTTTCAGTCAGCTATAATGCCAGCTTGGTCTTGGGTCAGAAAGGTCCAAGTGCTGGGTTTTCCTTGAACCCCTACAGGAATTAGCAGAGCATTGTTCCATAAGGCAAGGTGGATGTCACTGGATGTAAGGAATAGCCTGACATAACTATGAAATAAGACAGGGGGACCACAATCTCTCCCCACTTCCAATAGGATGAGTCTTTTGACATTTGATCTTGGCATAAAATGTCCTCCATCCTGGAAATTATTACTGTGTATTGTATCACTTTCTACTTATTTAAAAAATTAATTAAAACTGCTTCATCCAACCACCCTTGAGGCAACCTTCACACCTGTATGTACACAAGAACTTTCTCATTCTAGGGCTAGAATTATTTCCAGTCCTCTAATCAATTGCCTATTTAATGAAGATTAATTTTAATTGGTGTATAACCATGAACTATTTATACTTCATTAGCAGAATTTCGCAGAATTTTTGCTTGGTCCCCTTTGAAAAAAAGTAAAAGCTCCCTGGGCAGAGGGAAGGAGGGGAGGGAAAGGAGGAGTGATGAAAAGAGGGAAAGTTTTGTGTGGATGTGTTTTCTAAGCAAACTAATCCAAATTATGCATTATGCACACTTCAAATGTATTCCAGTCGTTTTTTCTGGAAGTCAGCTGTGTAATCATGGAATTGGGACCCCTGCAACAGATATTCCACGTTCCTTTTGTACACGTTGATGCAGCAGGAAAACTCTTACAGGGAACTCTGATTACAGTTTGCTGGTGAGATACTCTGGATAGAACATGGGATCCCAGAATGATTTGGGTTGGAGGAAACCTTAAAAATCATCTGGTGTTAATGCCCTGGACATGGGCAGGGACACCTTCCACTAGCCCAGGTCGCTCCAAGCATTATCCAACCTGGCCTTGGACACTCCCAGGGATGGGGCAGCCACAGCTTCTCTGGGCAACCTGTGCCAGGGCCTCCCACCCTCCCAGGGAAGGCTTTCTTCCTATATCTGAATTAAATCTGCTCTCTGTCAGTCTGAAACCATTCCCCCTTGCCCTGTCACTCCAGACCCTTGTAAAAAGTCCCTCTCCGTCCTTCTTGTAGCTCCTTCAGGTCCTGGAATAGGTCTGAGTAAGAACAGGACAGATAGCCAAGAGGTTCCTAGCTCTGTTCAGATGAACTGGAGATGCTGGAGAAGGCAACATTTAGAGTCTCCAAAAGCTCCCCCTCCCCACGAGGATGGGGAAGTTCTGAGGCCACAAAAGTCATTCTTCCAACTCAGTAAATCTTTACTTCACTGAATGTTCTCCTGATTAAACCCCAAAGGAAACCCCAAAGCCCATGAGAGAGTTTATGGAGTAAATAATTTTTTGGTTACTGTGGGTGAAGTTTGGCATAGTTACATGAGAAAAGCTTGGGCTGTACCTATTTGAGCTTGATTTTTCTGTGTGTAAAAAAGAGTTGAATTAGTCTATCAATTTACATCACAAACTAGCCAGCAGATAAAATCAGTCTGTTCCATGCTGCAGTATTTTCACCCACATATCCTTAATAAAATCTGGCAATTCAGTAAGTAGTTTCTGTTCTCCTTGTTCTGCTGATGACTGACAGCCAAGCTCAGAATTTATTGTAAGGTCCAGGTTAAAAGAAAAACTGCAGAGTAAGTGACAAGTTTGATGAAGAACCCATTTGTCAAATGATTCATTTAAATAAAGTAATTACTGTACAACATTTTAAAAACAAATTAACCACAGCATTCTGCAAGGGAAGGGGAAAAAAAAATCGATGTTAACTCAAGATATAAATGATGTTCCAGGAATGAAGCTGTTATTGCTAAGCATGAAAACAACCCCTGGCTTTCAAGGTAGCACATACATGGGAAAAGTGGAATTTTTTGAGCAGGTCCAGCTGAGGAGCAATGCCAGAGGTAGGTTCCCTGATCCTATTGCACTCTCTGCCAACTACATGTGAGCACATCAGTAGGAGAACCCAGTAGTGCTGTGCACTTAACTGATAATCCTATTCCAGTGTGAGAGGAGACCTTTCACTTTCAGCACTTACTTTGTCAAGTGATGTCTGTGAGGATGAAGGAAAAAAGCTGTATCTGCCCCTGCCTGGGATTTAGCTGTGGAAAGTAAGAGGAAAGGACTGCTTGGCTAAAGCTGCTCTGCCAAAAAGGGGGCTGAGCCAGCAGAGACTGCTGACTGACAAATATGACAGAGCAGCAGCTCCACTCATCCTCTGAAGACACAATATTGCTACAGCAAGTAAAATATCAAAAATATAAAAGCACACCTCGGTAGCACATCCCCTGAAAAAGCTTCTCCGGTCCTTCTGAGCCAGCAAATGTTTCCATTTAAAGGGGTCATCCAGGCCTGAGAGAACTTTAGAAAAGGTCATGGCTCAACAATTTCCACACCTTCCCTTGGGTCTCAGCGTTTCACTTCAAGACGAGGCACAGCACAAAAGCTTGTTACTGGGAAAATTCTCTATGCCTGTTTTAAAACCAGTCATAAACAGCAGCAGTTAAAAACTGTTGACCTTTCTGATGGCAGCTGTGGACCTCAGCCTCCTCAGGCTCCTTTGGGCAGGTTCCCTCAATGCAAAGCATCTCACTACCATTTTTCAGCAGGAATATAGCAGATGTAAAGTACTTTTTTTTTAACAGCATATACATAGAACTGCCTGAGTAGCCTTGAGGGAATTTCTGTGATTTCACTCAGTGCTATCGCTTTGATGCTTTCAAAGTAAAATGTTAACTTTTCAAAATACTTTTAAAAACTACATCATGCCTTTGGAGAGATTTTCCTTACCTACTCCACAGCAAACATTAGAACAGTGTCTGACTGCATTGGGGTGGGTTTTTTTGTTACTGTCTATGAAAACACTACAGAAAGGCAGATGAAATGGAGACAGGTTTATAGGGAAAGACAGGACTGACAGCCTGCAAAACAGAGGTGGGGAAATGCCATGTGTTTCCAGCACGGTGCTCCATAATTCCTTCTGAGGAGACCTAGAAAG